AAGTCTTCCCTCTGGAACCCCTGCTCCCAGGCAAGGGGAGCAGAGGGTCTGCACAACCCCTCCAGAGCGAAGACCACAGGGACTCAAGGGGGTCTTGCAGTTCCTTTGAAATGGTGTGAGGTTTCCTGCTTTGTCAGACGTCCCACAGAGAGGGAAATTGAAGGTGCGTTGTGGAAACCTCCATTGGAGTACAGGAAATGACAAGTTTGCAGGAACTTGTGATTACTGTAAGGAAATTTGCTTTGGATTTTTATTTCCAAGTTCTCTTAGGAATGCCCCAGTCCTTGAATCAGGTGTCTGTTTTGGGCCCTGCTCTGCATCCAGGCTCATCTGATAGTATTTTTTCCTCATTAATTTAGAATTTGCCAGCTGCAAATTTTATCAGTGAAAACCAAATTCTAATCTTGGATATAGATATAGAAAATATGGTTTTAGATTATGGCTTTAGATTAAGGTGATAGTTGAAACACCTACAGGCATGAACTGGAATCTTTATGGGCGAATTTTATACATAAAGTAGTAAATCTGTCTGTAATAATCAGTCAACCGAGCAGAAAATAGGAGCACATGCTATAGTTTGTAGACCAGTATCCTGTCACAACAATTTTGGAACATTTGGTTCATGTCCTGTCACACATTCTTAAGAGTAGTTATGCAATTGCCTCTAAGATGTTGGCTGTTTCAGACAAACTTTAAAGTTGGTTTCCCTTCTCCCCTCTTTACTGGACCAGAGGAATCTATTTTTATGTGGTGGTGGGGGAGGGAGGGAGATATTTCTCCTAAACAAACTTTGGTTTTGTCTTTTGAAACTTTTAAAGAATTCAGCTTTTAAAAAATAAGACTCTGTCTATGATTGGAAGAGGGTTCCCTTTCACCTGTTAGCAGCACAAAGTAGAGGTTCAGAGCAGGCTCTGGAGCCAGAGCACCTGGCTCTACCACTTGCTGGTTGTGTCACTTTGGACAAGTTACTCAACCTCTGTGTGTATGTTTTTCTTTTCCTTTTTTTAAATTGGGGAATAGTGTGTTTTTCCAGGACCCATCAGTTATGGAGGGCGCATCTCAGTGGCCCATATGGGGATCAAACCAGCAACCTTGGTGTTATAAGCACTGTGCTCTAACCAACTGAGCTAACCGGCTGCCCCATGTGCATCATTTTCTAATCTGTAAAACTGAAACCCAGGGTCCTTATGACTTTGATTAAAGATAGCTTTAAATCCTAGCTCTAGAAATCATGTCTCTCTATATATACATACCTCTCAGAGACCTAGCCTCCCCCTCCCCCAACCCCGGAATAATCAGCAACCCCGAGGCAGCCAAAGATAGTAGCCCAGACCTGGCTAATGGTCACCAGGTCTGGATCTCTAACAGGCTAAAGGTAACATCTTGATCTAAGTTATGTTTCGGCTCCTGAGCTCGAAGGTGGAATGACCCCCTGGCTACTTTCCCATGAGACCAGAGGGATGCGGGAGCAGACCTCAGAACTATTCTCAAGACCTGAAGAAATGATTTATCACCTTTACCTCACCTGCAACCAACCAACTCCCAGCATGCCCCAAGCCCCTAACCCATCATGTCTTGTGATTTTACCCTATCTAACCTGTAACCTAGACACCAGGAAGTCGGGTCTAGAGTAGAAGCTCCCTGTCTGCAGATTGGCCAATTCAATATTAAACTATTTTTCTTTCTATACTGCAAACTCCTGCTCATGCATTTCTTTGGGCCAGTGTGGGCAGGCAGATGGACTCTTAACATTGGGGTACTGGTAACAAAATGAGGATAATAGAGCTGTTGTCAGCATTTAATGAGTTAGAATTTGTAATGAGCAAAGTATGTGCTAAGCACTATATAAGGACTTGTTTAAAAAGAAAAAAAAATCCTATATTTGTTTTAGAAATTTTTGGTGTTTGCTTCTGTAAGAAACATAAACAGGTTATTATGAATTTGTTCAATTGTCTGGTAATCAACAGAATCCGGAGACATGCCAGTAAATATGAGTCATCATAAAGGAGCAGGTTGGTACCTATAGGAGGGGTGGTTCCTTGGGAGAAACACAGCTTCAGTAAATCACTGAGACTCTCTTCTGTCAAATGCTTTTATACAAGTGAGATAAAGTGCAACTCTTTATCTAAACCTCCTGCTTAGAATCTTTTTGAAAAATTTGGAACAAATGACCAAGATACCAAAGGAAGCTTGTATTCTATAGTAACAAAAACTGTAACTTGAACAGTTTTCGTAAGAAACCAATGAAAGGACAGGATTCATTCCCTTAGGAATTGGTTAATATTGCCATTTATAAAAGATAGGGGGTTGGCCGAGTGGCTGTTGGTTAGAGCTGAGCTCTGAGCAACAGGGTTGAAAGTTCGATTCCCACATGGGCCAGTGAGCTGAGACCAAGTTGAGCTGCCGCTGAGCTGCCAACGGGGGTGGGGTGGGGTGGGGGTGGGGTGGCGGCTTAGCTGGTGAGAGTGAGAGCGTTAGCTCTTTACAACAAGGTTGCCAGTTCCACTTATGCATGGGATGGTGGGCTGCATGCCCCACCCTCAACCCCCGCAACTAGACTGAAGGACGACAACTTGACTTGGAGCTGATGAGTTCCGGAAAAACACAATGTTCCCCAATTCCCCAACACTGTTCCCTTCCCCAATTCTCCAATAAAATCTTAAAAAAAAAGGGGGGAACCTTGTTTCTAGAGCTTTGCTGGGAAACCAAAAATTTAAATTTATTTTTAAACCTTTGTTGTATACTTTAGGCGTCTGGATTTCTGCAAATAATATCACATTATTAGTGTAAAAATTTAAAGAGAAAATGTCTCTGTAGACATTGTTAATTTTATAAATACTGATATAAAATAAATTCTTCTGTGTTTTCATATTACCTACAGAAACTAACAAAATAGCCCTGAATTTTAAAGATGCTTTGCGAAAAATAAAGTTCCAACCAACTAATCAACCCCTCCCTCCAAGCCTTTCATTTGCCAATAGGTAAAGCTCTTGTAGTATGCCCTGGTTTGACTCCTGGCCCTCCCACTTATTAGCTATACTATCTTAGCAAGATGGAAGTCCTCAGTTTATATGTAGGTTTGTGCATTGCCTTATAGAGTTGTGAGAAGTAAATGTGTTCATACATGTAGAGTGTTTAGGACTATGCATGGTATACAAAGTAATTGTTTAATAGATGTTCATGGCTACTCTACGGAGAACCTGGCTCCATTGTGAATAGTCACTTCATCACTTTTTTTTTTTTTTTTAGATGAGCCATCCTGCCACCTGTTGGCAGCTCAGCTCAGGCTGGGAATCGAACTGGCAACTGTATTGCTCAGAGCTCACACTCTTGCGTGAGTTCTTAACAAACTGAGCCACTTGGCCAGCCTACTTCATCACTCTTCAAAGACAAGACACTCTTAAGTTATCTAGGACTTGGGTTTTCTCTCTCTTCTTCTACTATGCTATTTTATTTAGAAATTAGAAAGCCTTACTTAACATGATTGATACATTTAAATGTAGGATTAAATATTCACACCCAGTTCAAGTGTTCGTGTCTGCACTTGAAGCTAAAACTTGACAATTTGAGGCATGAATACTATGTAATTCGAGTCTATGAGAAAGCTAATGCCTTATATCTAGAGAGATATCAAAGCCAAGGCTAACTCCACCTAGACTGTTTGTTCTTTTAGGGTATTAAGCCTGTATCTTCAAGGCCTAGCTGGAGCCTCTCACACAGATGATCAACAAATATCAATACGGAATGAAGAGTTCATTGAGGAGGCTTTTGCAGTAAATTCAGGAGATCAATGGTGATGTGGCCTTTGTGAAAGTTCCTCCAATTGGGTGGATTCTTCATGTGTAGGTACAAGACAAAAAGGATGAAAAAAACTTCATCTGTTCTCGAAGTAAGGAAATCCAATAACTTTCCAAATAATAAGCAATAAGAAACCTCCCATTTCACTTGCCAACATATTAAAGGCCTATGGCCATAACACTTTAGACCTGGAAGAGGTCTCCTAGGTCAAGCTTCTCCTTTTTACACAGGAGAAAAGAGACGTGGAGAGTTGAAACCATTTTTTCAAGGTCCCACAGCTAGTCTAAGGGCAGTCAGGAGTGGAAGTCGTTTCTGAAACCTGTCAGCCCATAGCCATTTCACAGCCTCGAGGTAAAAGTGTCCTGTGCTTTATCTTTTAATAGAAAAACGGGGTGTAAACAGGAGTATCAAAGTGGTGTTCCGATTAGTGCATTCGTGAACTGTCGCTGGGTACAGTTCACAGGCACAGGTATGCAGGAAGTTGTACGGCCGCCACAGGTTGGTTTATATTAAGCCAACCTTCGGGTAGCGCCAGTTATGCTGACCTAGCTCCTTTATCTGTACATATTAATCTATTTAGCTAGCGAGCAGGGGAATCAGCTGGGTAATGCACTCTCAGCTGTTAGGGAGGGGGACACGCGACCCCGCTGGCGCCCACCATCAGAGCGCATCTTACGATAACAAGCAGGACTGGAGGTGGGAAAAACAAACAGGGACAGAATGAATGTGCGCAGGGGGCCCGTGCTAGGTAAGTAGTGGGCAAAGGGTATGATCGGATTACTGGAGGTTTTATAATTTTTATATCAAGACGGAGGGAACCAAATAAAAACTCAACTCCTGAGAGCCCTGGAAAGTTTGAAGGACCTATTTGAGGGAGCGAGTATCTGCAGCTTGCATCCGCGTACTCAGGCCCCCACTTCAACCTTTCTCGAGGACTGGGACCCCTCCACCCGCTGCCCCAACCTGGGCATGCAGCAGCCCGGCTGTCCCTCGTGCTCCTTCTCTCCCTTCATCCTCGGTCGGAAGAGAAACGCAGGCACAAGCAGTGCTCCGGGGCTCATCCATCAGTCCCGGAGGAAAAAGGGGAGGAGAGAGGAGACGGGCGGCTGGAGGAGGAGTTTCTCCGCGGCCCGAAGCCCTTGGTGGGGCGGGCGGAGGAGGAGCGCCCTTCCCCCCGCGCGCTGATTGCTGTGGCGTCCTGCCTGTCCCCGCCCGCGTGTGTGTGAAGGCGAGCGAGTGCGCCTGGTCGGCCCGATGGGGGTAATCGAGGGTTTCGGGGACGCTGAGCGGCGCTTTCCTCTTCCCAGTGAGTGAGTGAGGGAAGTCGGCGGCTCTGGTGCCCGGCCACTTTCCCTGCTTGATTCCCGGAGCTCCCTGCAGGAGGTGAAAGTCCCCGGCGGGTCCGGGTGGCGTAGTTGCGCCGCAGCGCAGCAGCTGCCGGAGCTCGCCGCCGCCGAGCGTTGGGCGGAGAAACTTTTCCTCCAACTTGCGGCGGGTGGATCTCCGCTTGACACACCGCCCCCGAGGTACGTGCCGCCCGGCCCCGCGACGCTGCAGCCCTTGCCGGGACGCCCCTGGGTGCGCCGCTAACCCAGCACCGGTCCCGGCCGCGGGCTCTGCAGGCGGCGCGGTTCCAGTTGGTGCTGCGCGCGGCTCCGTGCCTGCTTCATTGCCGGGGTCGCTCCGGCCGCCCGGATCCCCAGGCTTGGGAGGGCGGCATTAAGTCAGGCGCCGCGGATTCGGGACCCGTGGCCGATGGTGCATGGGGAGCAGCCGCCCCGGGTGGGCAGCGCTTGGGGCGATGCGCTGCACTGGGAAAGACTTCTCCATGCCGGCCCTCACTCTTCGCGGTTTCTTCTGACTCCCTCGGGGGTGCGCCGACCACTTCCCACTAGGCGCGTGATAGCGTCGGTGGGAAAGGTTTGATGTGGGTTTGCACTCAGTTGCCATTGCAGAGGCTGCGGCCCCGGGACTGGCGCTCGGACAGGAGCTGCGCTCTGCGCGGGCCGCGCCCGCAGGGTGCTCGCTCTGTGGGCGGTGCGGAGCGCTGCAGCCCAGAGCCCCCGCGGAGAACGCGTCCCCCGGTAACTTAGGAGCCTTACTCAGTTTATTTTGAAGGTTTCTCTTATTTATTTGGTTAGAACAAGCTTGCAAATCTCTGTTCCTAGGAAAATCTGCCTGCTTGTTCTTATTAGGGCATTTGCCCCACTTTCCAGAATCACGTAGTGTAGGGAACCGGCTTGTCAAGCGTGAATTACCTTGGCAGAATACAATTTAGGTCTACAAAAAAAAAAAAAAAAGCTAGAAGAAAATTGCTCCGTTTCCTTAGCTGTGAAATGGGAATAATAATAGTACTTGGCTCATAAAGTTGCTGTGTTAATGCAGCTTGTCCTGAACCCAGAGGTGACAGAAGAGAGAAGAGGGTAAGGGATGGTAGGAATGACAGACTGAGATGGGGAATTAAGCGTTTTCTGAACTCTCCATCTCCCTTCCAAGAAAAGTAAGCGAGCGGTTTGGGAGGAGAGAAGTCTCTACTTCTCTCCTTCTCTTGGCAAAGCATATGCCAAGACCTTTTAATTTTCCTAAAATGGTACTTTAGGCTGCAGTTACTTCAGTGTGAAATTAGCAATTTCTTTTGGGTGATAGTCATAACTAACGTTTATTGAACTCAAACTGTGTGCCAGACACTCTCCTAAATGCCTTATGGACACAGTCGCTCTCAATCCTCATACTAGCTATATGGTAAAAACACCATTAATAGCCCAATTTTACAGATAAGACACTAGAGGTTAGTGACTTGCCCAGGCTCCTACGTAACTTTCTGTTGTGACTCCAGTGTTAGCCTAGTCACTCAGCGGAGAGCATCAAGTGCAGTCAGATTTGTGTGCAGCGAGCCTAGGCGTCTTCACCCATTGTTCAGCTTCCAATCAGAGTTGAGCACATCACTTAAAACACAAATAAGGTATCTGTGATTACTTTAGGGGATATACTTATGGTGGTGCCAAATCACAGCTCCTTTGAAACTGGCTCCAAGCAATTATAGTGGAACTCTGATTTGTATTAATTAATATGGATCTTTATTCTGAATTTCTTTTATTAATTCTCCAGGCATTGTTGGTCAGCGTTACTTGGTTTCCTTAGGAAACAGCTTGGGGTTGGCACAAGAGGCAGGGAAATAATTCTTACCCCCTTAAGGGCTATTAAAATGAAATTGACTTCATGCCATTGTGTTGGTTAAAGGATGTAGCTCTGTTTCTTGGTGTTCTCAGCTTTTGGCTTTCATTCTGCATTGTTTAGCGTTTCAAGGCTTCAGCATATTTTTTGCCCTTCAGTTTGTCATTTGTCAACTTTAATTTTTCCTGTTTTGATGGAATCTGACCATTACATGGCCACTTTGCTTCACAACTGTTGATCCAGCTCATGTTTTTAAATATAAAAGTCATCACTTACTTTTGAACCCCAGCACTTCAAAGGCAACCCCTGGGGAATTCATTGTTATTTTGAATATTAGCCAACAGGGGGAGCATAACACGCTATTGATGCCTATTAGGCTCGTAAACCAGTTTTTAGGGTATTGAACTTACATTTTAGAAGTGGAGAAAGCTGCGAATTTAGCAAAATAATCAAGTTGATTTCTGAGTTTACAATGGAGAACTGGGTTTAATTTTAACTGGTGACAATGAGATTAACCTTGAGGAGAGGGCCTATATGTTGAATATATGTCAAGAGCTGTGGTGGTTGGACATATATTAAATACACTCACGTAGTTTTTTTCTATTTGTTTTCCTTAAGAGGTGTATGTAAAATAGCTTTGTGTACTTTGAATAATAGTTCAAGTTATTCAGGAGAACTGGGAGTCCAGAGAAATCCATGGTGGATCCTTTTGTAATGATCCTCATTTGTCTTTTGTAGAAAACTGCATACAGTAAATTTGTTCTCCGGGAGGTCGATACACTCACAATCCTGTCATAATCACTTTTCATTAACATCTTACAAGTGCAAGAAATAAGGGATTGTTTTCCCCAGTAATAGCATTTCTATTACTGTACATTCCTCAGAGGATTATATTTTAGTATAGTAATAGTTCAGCAGTATCATATTTGTCTAGTTAAGGTGTGATGTGTCTCTAGACACTCATGCTTGTCAATACTGGGGGTGCCAAAAAATGTACACACATGACTTGTATTCATCTTTTGTTATTGATATATATTGAGTATTACAATTTTAATACAGTTTTTCCTTTTTTAAAATGTGTATGCTTTTTTTTGGCACCCTGTGTATAATATAAACAATATTTAAGAATTAACATATTTGGAAAAACAAACTGATGTCATTTTTATTTTTTAAAGAAATTTCATTGGGGAACAGTGTGTTTTTCCAGGACCCATCAGCTCCAAGTCAAGTAGTCGTTTTGATCTATAATACTTGTGGAGGGCGCAGCCCCTTGGCCCATGTGGGAATCGAACTGGCAACCAACAATCTTGATGTTATGAGCCTGCGCTCTAACCACCTGAGCTAACAGGCCGCCCCAAACTGACTTTTAAAAAGGGTTTTCAGTCTTAGTCTGCAGTTTAGTAGGCCAGTTTCCTTTCTTGTTTCTTGTGTATCAGGTAGTATTGACTTTATTTCATTTACGAAAGTTTGGGTCAAATTTAGTCCCTTGTTTCTAAAGCTCAGCATTACACTTACACTTTAGAGTAGTAGTCTATTTAGGATCTAATTTAGTCTTCCATGCTTGCATGTAGTTCACTCATTCAGCAAACATTTGTCTACCCCTAACTCCTTAATAGGCTTATGGTTCCTGGTCTTGGAGTTTGGCAAATTAGTTGTCCTCTTTCAATCCTCCTATAGCTGGGGGCCAAGATGCCTTAAGGCTTCCTAGGGCTTTGTCATGAAAAGGCTTTATAGATTGCAAAATTGTTTTGCTTAAGGCAAGTATTGTCCCATTCTTTTCAAGGCAAAGGAATTAATCTTTCACTTTTGCATGCAAACTTGGTTTATTTTGTAAAAACCAGGTGTCTACTGGCTTTTCAGAGAGCAGAACCTGGGCCTAAGCACCCAGGGCCAAAGGACTCTACTGTCCTTTGAGTACTAAGAAGGTGATCATTACTGACTTCTTTAGTAACTAAATGATGACCAATTTCCTGGGATCATAAATCTGTGGAAAGTTCTGACTTTACATTTCAAGCTTAACAGAACAGTTAGAATTTAGAGGATGACTGGTAAGTATTAACATTGCTGTAATATTTTTCCTGGATGAATTTGCTCTGTGGTCATTTTGAATTACCCTCGTTCTTGATAATCCATTTTGAAAATGTGAGGGTTTCCCCCCCCCCCCTTGTTTTCATTGCTAATGGGCAAGAACTAATTATAATTGTCGGGTTCATTAGTTAATGAAGCCAGTCTTCAGTTTTTCCCTTTCCCCCCCTCTTAACAGTTATTTTAAAAATGATGTTATTGCTGTTTGCTGGAGCATTTTCCTTATATTTTAAAACTTTTTTTGACATTTTAAAACTTAAAAAATGTTACCTATTTTTTGATATTTGCGTAACTCAAGTTAGATAAATGTTTTTAGGGATCTTTAATTTTAAAGTAATTTTGAATTGCCTCTGGGAACATGGACAGTTAGTTAGGAATGAAAAAGAGTGAATTTAGGTTATATGAAAAGCTAGCCTTTCACAAATAATAGTTAGCTTTTAATAATTTCAGTGAGGGCGTTTGTGGGTTTGGAAGAATATTACTGCAACTACATCCATGGCAGGAATTTCTCTAGTTCCACATCTTTAGAGTAATACCTGGAATGATAGCTTTGTCTCTTTGTAGCATTTCATAAAACACAAGCTTTTGGGGTGGCCAGTTAGCTCAGGTGGTTAGAGCGCAGGCTCATAACACCAAGGTATCCCCGCATGGGCCACGGAGCTGCGCCCTCCGCAACTAGATTGAAGACAACTACTTGACTTGGAGCTGATGGGTCCTGGAAAAACACACTATTTCCCAATTGAAAAAAAAATTCTTTAAAAACAAACAAACAAAAAACACAAGCTATTGCTAATTTGTTCAGATTCTAGTCAAGCTGAAGTAAATCAACACATCTTGGAAGGGCCTTACACAAAGGATCTGGGTCCATTTCTTGGGCTCTGTCCATTTTTAAATTTTCTTGTTTTATTATTTATCTTTTGAAATAGCACACTTGTTTGCTAAATGACATTGAGCTTTATTTTCTCTGTTTGCAAAGTCCTTGCGCAGATTTAGCACAGATTTCCTAGCATTCTTCCTTTTCTTAGAGGAAGAGTAATGATTTTTATCTCTAAACCAAGATGTGTGCAATATTTAGTGTTTGAAGCAACATTCATAAAAATTTAGTGTGGGGCCACACTCATTTCGATCTTATTCTACATTTTTTTATTCTTTAGTTTCCCAAGCCAAACACCAAGACTTATAGGCTGACAACTACGGGTATATCTATAAGGAATGGAGACCATATTTAAAATTGAGATTGTCCCTGAAGGTCTGAAACATGGGCCTC